GGGGGAGAGCAAGAGGAGGAGGAGGAGGGAGGAGGAGGAGGAGGAGGAGGAGGAGGAGGAGGAGAGGAGGAGGGAGGAGGAGGAGAGGAGGAGGAGGAGAGAGGAAGGAGGAGGAGGAGGAGGGAGGAGGAGGAAGGAGGAGGAGGAGGATGAGGAGGGAGGAGGGAGGGAGGAGGAAGGAGGGAGAGGAAGGAGGGAGAAGGGAGAGGAGGAGAGGAGAGGAGGAAGGAAAGGGGAAAACAAAGGAAAAGGGAGGAGGAGGAGGAGGAGGGAGGAGGAGGAGGAGAGGAGGAGAGGAGGAGGGAGGAGGAGGAGGAGGAGGAGGAGGAGGAGGAGGAGAGGAGAGGAGGAGGAGAGGAGGAGGAGGAGGAGGAGGAGGAGGAGAAAGGGTAGGGTCGAGAATCAGCTCACGACTCGCGCGGCAGCGCCTCGCGGGGGGAGCGAAAGGAAGGGAGAGCAAAGGGTAGGTTTAGATTGCTCCCATCCTACTTCAGGACCGCATCCCAGAAATTCGCGGGCCCAACGGGCCAGAGGCGTGCTAAGATCTCCAGTAACTAGTTAACAAGATTTCTAGTTCGCGCGCGCGGGGCGGCCCCTGGCGGTCCCCCTGCGAAAAGTATCCCGACCGCAGCACGACTAAGTCTACCCAGAGATGGTTTTGATTGCCTTTTTTTGACACCCCTCACGAGGATCGTGGCCTCCGAGGGGGGTGCACTCGACTACCCCGCCCCAAGAGGCCCCCAAGGGCCCCCCAAGAGGCCCAAGGGGGCCCCAAGACGCCGCCAAGGAGCCCCAAGAGACCCCAAGAGGCCCCCAAGAGGCCCCTAGGAGGCCCCAACGAGGCTTCAAAAAGGCCCCATAGAACGCTCGAGGGCCGGCGGAATGAGCGAAGCGATTAAATAATTTCGAGCACCCGGAAAAGTGTCGAAAGAGTGTCGAAAGAGTGTCTCCCAGCGGGGGCGAAAGGGGGGGATAGCGGAGGGTAGGGTCAGGTCGGGCCTGTCCCCCTACAGGGGGATTGTCGACGAATTTTTTTAAAAAATACCCTAAAAGTGCCCCCCCTAAAGCCAAAAGATACTCAAAACAAAATCTCCAGACTATTGTCGGACTATTTTTGGATTATTTTTTATTTTTCGTCGAAAATCCCCCTGTAGGGGGACAGGCCCGACTTGAGGGTAGGGTCGAGAATCAGCTCACGTAGCTGATTTTCCCAGCGCCTCCCGGCGCCGGGAGGCGCCCATATATCGAGGAATGGGCCCGGCGGCGGGGCCGAAACTCCCTGGACCGCTCCCGGGGTGCGTACCGACGGCTCCCGGGGCGTCCTCGGCTACACGCAAGAGTGACCCTGGGCAAGAGTGGCCTGTGGTGCGCGGCCCAAGGGGGGGCCCTTTGTGGACACCACGGGGCGCGCAAGCCGCTGCCATCGCATCGCATTCGGAGGTCGGGGGGCCCCATTGGGCCCCCACCAAAGGTCACTCCGGCGAAAGGTCACTCTTACGTGCAGCCGACGTCCGTGTACGCCTCGCGCGGCAAGCGCCTCTGGGGAAACCAAAAGGTGCCGATACAGCTACTCCCCAGACCTCCCCCCGGGTGCGTCCTGACCAGAATTTCGAGGCGAATCCGGCGGTGGCGACGAGGGACCCCCCAGGAGGCCCCAAAAAGGCGAAAGCGGGCGAAGGGTAGAGGTATGGGGGCCTTTCCCACGTCGGAGCCTCGCCGGTCTCCCGGATGCCCATCACAGGAGCAGAGAGAGCGCCAGGAGCAGAAACTCCTGGCGCTCCGCGCGGAGTTCTCGGACCTGCGGCCTCGAGCGCGCCTCGGGGGGCGCCGGAGGCGCCGCGGGGGGGGGGCGGGGGGGCGGGGCCCGCGCGGAGATCCCAGAGCTCCGCGCGGAGCGCCAAGAGTTCGTGCTGATGGCGGCTTCTCTCCTCCGCCATCAGGAACTCGGGGGCGTCGCTCTCGCCGGGGATGTGGATCAGGAACAGCTGCACGGGGGTGGGGTGCGCTCCCCCCTCCTTGCGTTACGTCGGGCGTGTCCCCCCATACAGGGGGATTTTGGGCGAAGAATGAGAAGTACTCCAAACATATCCCCCAAAGGCTCAAACATAGTCCACAAAAGTCGTCCCCAGAGTATTTTTTGACTAGGCTTGGATACTCCCCCTGTAGAGGGACCCAGACATCCGATGTCTTGATTTCTTCCATGCGGGCTCCCTGGAAATCCCGACCCTCTCCCTGGGGCCCGTTTTTCGTCCCGAGTCGTTTTTTGACGGTCCCGGGGCCCGGCGAGGGCCCCCAGAGGCCCAAAACTCTACAACACCTCCGTCTTGCTTTTTTCAACGCGTTGGCTCTCTGGGGGCGCGCCCGACCTGGCCATCGCTCGGACGTCCATTCCCTGTGTTTTTTTCGGTTTCGTGCGTGGTTTCTTCGCCAGATGATCAAGGATGCTCCTCGATGGTCCTCGCCGAAGGAAAAACGCACACGTCCGAGCGATGCCAAGCGACTTCAACTTACGCCCCCTCGCTCGCCACCGCACCCGCCAGCGGCCCCGGCGCGGCGTGCGCTCCAAGAATGCCCTCCAAGTGCTCAAAAACAGTCCACAATCGTCCCCAGACTATTCCTTTGACTCTCTTTGGATGCTCCCCCTGTAGAGGGGCACGCCCGACGGAATCCCAATGCCCTCCAGAAATACCCTCCCAGTGCCCAAAAACAGTCCCGAATCGTCCCCAGACCATTCCTTTGACTCTCTTTGGATGCTCCCCCTGTAGAGGGGCACGCCCGACGGAATCCCAATGCCCTCCAGAAATACCCTCCCCATGCCCAAAAACAGTCCCGAATCGTCCCCAGACCATTCCTTTGACTCTCTTTGGATGCTCCCCCTGCAGAGGGGCACGCCCGACGGAATCCCAATGCCCTCCAGAAACACCCTCCCAATGCCCCAAAACAGCCCCAAATCGTCCCCAGACCATTCCTTTGACTCTCCCAAACCTCTCCTTTAACTCTCCTTGGGGCACGCCCGACGGAATCCTTGCGCAGGGACACCTGGATGGACGTGGCGGGGCCCACGGCGCAGCCCTCCGCGCGGGGGCCTTCGCCCGGCGGCGTGGCCGCACGACGGGGCGAGGCGTCTCCGGGCGGCGGCACCTGGAGTTCCTCCTCCTCCTCCGGTTCCTCCTCCGATTCCTCCTTCTACTCCTCGTCCTCGTCCTCGTCCTCGTCCTCGTCCTCCTCGTCCTCGTCCTCGTCCTCCTGCTCCTCCTCCTCCTCCTCCTCCTCCTCCTCCTCCTCCTCCTCCTCCTCCTCCTCCTCCTCCTCCTAGGTGGATGTGCCTGAGGGGAGGTGCCAAGGGCGAAGTCGGGCGTGTCCCCCTACAGGAGGATTTTGGGCGAAAAATAAAAAATGCTCAAAACATCGTCCCCAGACTATTTTTTGACTGGTCTTGGATTTTCCCCCTGCAGAGGGACAGGCCCGACTTAAACCAAGAGGCCTCTTACATGGGGTCCAAGTAGGTGGGTCGGAGGATCGCGCCGCATTGCCGCTGCATCGCCAATGCATCGGCATTGCGAAACACGGGCTCCACATCGAGCCGCATCGGCGATGCATCGGCGATGCGGCGCGATCCTCCGACCCCATCTACTCCGATCCCATCTAGGAGGCCTAGAGCACCGCCGCTGCCGAGATGAAGTCCTGGAAGCGCTGGCGGTCGGGCTCTTCTATGTATCTAAGGAAGCAGACGCCCGTCAGCGTGGTCCTCATCTCTCCCTCCCGATCTCCCGTGCCCATCAAGTGTACCAAGTGTGGGGAGTGGGCGATGATGTTAGACTGATGGCAGATGCGCAGCTGGGCGTCGCAGAATATATTGAGCATTCTTTGAATTGCCTGGTACGCCTTGGCAGACTGGCTGGACTCGAGAGATGCTTTGATTCGGTCTTGCTCGCACGACTCAAGGAAAAATGGAACTGCGACGACACAAACGAACGTGCAAAACTCAGCCCAACAATGGCCGACGACGGCTTCCGTGGGAGACTGCCCAGCGGTGCACAGACTCTCGCGTCTTTCCCAGATCAAGAAGAACACCACTACAGAGTAACATGCATTCCACTTCAGCGCTGCCCTGCAATCAAGCAATAAGATCGCGTTGAACACTCGCATCCCGCAACGCCAACCGCCGTTCATGAGAAACTCGTCGGTTTCCGCGTTCCACACAATCAAAACCATTAGGAGCATCGAACATTTGAACACGATTGACATGTCCACGGCGGGGATGCGGTATACTTTGATGCAGTAGCTGTAGTATAAGCAGGCAGCATAACGCACCAACAAAAACAGTGCCATTATAGCAAACCCCCAGTCATGCTTATGGGCAGCACTCCTGAAACACAGAAGCAACAATTGTAGACTCGTCAATGGCACTTGCAACACTTCGATGAAAAATCGGCCTCGGGCCTTCCGAGCCTTCTCGAACTCCGAACACAGTTTGCTTTCGAAAGATGTGCAAAGACCAGCTGGTGCTGCAAGCTTCTGGATCACTATTTTCAGTGGGGCGAGCGACGTTGCCAAGTCGTCCCAGCAGAGCCATACATGCGCAGTCAGAGCACAGAAGACCGTGGCGAGGCAACTGCGAATGATGAAGGAAGGCAGAATCTCTTGCTGCGTCATCTCGGCAGCACCCAGCATGGTCGACTCGGACGCTATGCAATGTCTTCGGAAGGATCTGGACCTATCGATCCCGAAGCGCCACGCAGCTCGGGCCAAATTGCAGCCCTCGTTATTGCGAGATCAGTCAACATCCTCATCGGAAAACTGGGTCGACTCGAAGTGCGCATCATTTCGGGCTGCATCGGCACGATCGAATCGGATCGGCTGCGCCAAGATGCACAGCAACGCCATGCAAGAATCGGACGGATCGTCGGAATAACTATCGGAATCGAATTGAATCGGACAGGCCAGAATCGATTTTGAATCGCATCGACCGGATCGAAATGGACTCTGTGTTGATGTGGCGCGAATGTGTCTAGAGTTGCTGTATTTTCTCAATCAAGCTTGGTCTTTGGGATTTATACTTGTTATGGGAGGAACTGATGTGCCCAGTCGCGCCAGGGCTCCCCGGTCTTGTTTCTTTACAGTGGCGTTCCTCGGGGATCCCTGGTTTTGTTTCTTCACAGTGGCGTTCCTCGGGGTTTCCTGGTCTTGTTCCTTTGCAGTGGTGTTCCTCGGAGTTCCCTGGCCTTCGCTCTTTACAGTGGCGTTCCTGGGGGTTGTTTGATCTTGTTTGTTAAGCAATGTCAGACAATGCCAGGCAATGCAATGCCAAGCAATGCCGAGCCACGCCGAGCAACGCCAAGCAATGTCAAGCAAAGCCAACCAACGTCAAGCAATAGCAAGCAATGACGAGAAATGCCGAGCAATGCCAAGCACTTTCAGGCAATGTCAAGCAACGTCAAACAATGCCAAGCAATGACAAGCCATACCAGGCAATGCAATGCCACGCAATGCCAAGCCACGCCGAGCAACGCCAAGCAATGTCAAGCAAAGCCAAACAACGTCAAGCAATACCAAGCAATGACCAGAAATGCCGAGCAATGCCAAGCACTGCCAAGCAATGCTAAACACTGCCAACCAATACCAAACAGTGCAAGCAATACGAAGCAATGCAAATCAGTCCAATGCTGAGCAAAACAACGACGTTTCCCAAATTGGAGTCGCGCCGTGTTCATTTTTCAACTCCAGACTGCCTTACAGTGGAGGCCAGTCCTCAAGAAACATTCCACAAGAAACCCAGCCCTGAGACCCCAGGACGTCCACTGAATTTTGATGAGGGAACGTCAAGCTTACCATAGCAAACCCATCGAAACCCAAGAAACCCAGGGCGCCCTGTAGGCAAGCAGGGTGTTTTTTTGGCATAGGTCTCCACTGTGCATCACCCTGTCTGTGCCTCCTCTTCCCTGGGGGCCGCGAGCAGTCCAATTCTGCCCTGCCGCTGCCCTGGACATCGGCCTACCCTTAGGTCGGGCGTGTCCTCCTACAGGCGGATTTTGGACGAAACATCAAACATACCCCAAACATGTTCAACCATGGCTAACAATGACAATAAAATCGCCCCCATATTATTGTTAGACTATTTTTGAATGTTCCTCCTGTAGAGGGGCATGCCCGACTGAAGCCTACCGTCAGCTTCGCCTCGCCAAGCCTGCTTCTCTGGCGCAGCTGTGCTGAACCAGGCAGGCTCGCACATGTTCCCCACGGGTGCGCAAGTTGTGCTCGATGCAACACAAGCATACCGACCGAACGCTACACACGCAAACATTTTCCGTCGCAACGCGGCACGGGCATTCCGCACGCGCGTCCGAGGACTCACACACAAACATAAACGGACACACGCACACACACACACACACACACACACACACACACACACACACACACACACACACACACACACACACACACACACACACACACACACACGCACACGCACACACGCAACCACACGCACACACACACGCACACACCCACACACACAACACACACACACACACACGCACACGCACACGCACACGCACACGCACGCACGCGCTCAGACACAGACACACACGCACACAGACACAGACACAGACACTGACAAACACACACACACACACAAACCACGCACACACACAAACAGACCGACACACCCACACACACACACACGCACGCACGCACGCACGCAGCACGCACGCACGCACACACACACACACACACACACACACACACACACACACACACACACACACACACACACCACACACACACACACACACACACACACACCACACACACACACACACACACACACACACACACACGCACACACACACACGCACGCACGCACACACACACACACACGCACGCGCACGCACAGTGACAGACACACATACACACACACGCACAAAGACAAATACACAGACACAGGCACACATATGCAGACATACAGACACAGACACAGGCACAGGCACAGACACACACACACACACAGGCACACAGACACACACACACACAAACACACACACACACACACACACACACACACACACACACACACACGCACGCACACCAACACGCGCACGCGCACACACGCACACGCACCCACGCACACGCACCCACGCTCACACACCCACGCACACGTACTCACACGCCCACGCACACACAAACACACAGGCACACGAACACACACACACAAACACACAAACACCCACCCACCCACTCATCTACCCATCTTCCCACGCACGCACGCACGAACACACTTTTGCGTCGGCGGCTAGGCAGAGTGACTGCGCTGGCGATGAGGCGTTGGCACGCGCGCTTGCACACACACACACACACACGCATACACACGCACACACGCACACACATGCGCACACACATACACACACGTACACACGCACACACACACACACACACTCACACGCACAGGCAGGCACAGACACACACACACACACAGACACACACACACACACACACACACGCACGCACGCACGCACGCACGCACGCACACAAGCACGCACGCAACGACGCACGCACGCGCGCGCGCGCCCGCGCGCCCGCCCGCCCGCCCGCACGCGCACGCGCGCGCACGCGCACGCGCACACGCACGCGCACGCGCATGCACGCGCATGCACGCGCACACGCACGCGAACACGCACACGCACACGCACACAAGCACAAACACGCGCACACACCCACACGCACGCACGCACGCACGCACGCACGCACACGCACGCACACGCAACGACGCACGCACGCACGCACGCTCACACACATACACACACGCACGCATGCACGCACGCCCGCCCGCCCGCCCGCCCGCCCGCAAACACACACACACAGACACACACACAGACACACACACACACACACACACTCTCTCACACGCACATACGCACGCGCACAGGCACGCGAACACGCACACGCACACGCACACACACACGGACACACACACACAGACACACACACACACACACACGCACGGACTCACACAGACAGACACACAGACACACGCACACACAGACAACAGCCACACAGACACACACACAGACACACACACACACACACACATTCACACTTTTCAGTATCGCGAAGGAGCCCAGCGGCAAGGCGAGGAGACGACCGATGGATGGCGGGCGAGGAAGGGCGAAGGCGCGGAACCAACGCCATCGCCACCAGAGCGGATCCGGGGCGATCCTCACCGCGCCTGCAGGCGGGCGCGCAGGGCCGCCCGCCACTCGGCCCTGCCGCGGGCGGCGCGCGCCGCCCGCAGCAGCGGCGGCAGCAGCGGCAGCAGCACGGCCGCCCGCGGCGGCAGCGCTGGGGCCCGCCCGCCGCGCCGCAGGCGCGCCACCGACGCGGGGCCCCGCGCCGCCGCCGCGTGCGGCTGCCAGGCGGCGCCCGCGAACAGCGCTGTCGCCGCGGTTGCCTAATCCCAGCGCGGGGGCGCGCGGGAAGTGCCGCGGCTGCTGGCTGCCCCCCCTGGCCGCGCCCTTGCCGGCGGCGCCGCGGCGGCGGCGACCGCCGCCGCGTCCTGCCCGCGTCGCCCATCTGCGGCGGTGCCCCGGCGCCGCCCAGCGTCGCCGCGCCCTGGGCCTGCCCAGCCGTCGGGGCGACCAGCTCCACGGCGGCCGCCGCGCGCTGGACCGCCGCGAGCGCCTCAGCTGCCGCGCGCGCTACTGGAGAAAAGCTGGCGGTGGGGGCCTGGCTTTCGCGCCAGCGCCAGCCTGCGCGCTCGCATCGTCCCCAGTCCAGCCCCCCCGCCGAGATGCCCCGATCGGAAGCCCCCGCGCGGGTCAAATGGGCCGTCGGCCAGCGGGCCCGCAACAACTCTGCTCGGCAGCGCGGCGCGACCGCCCCCCCCCCCCCCCAGCTCGGCATGCTGCCAGTTCATCGGGTTCGCGCCACCGCGCAAGCAATGCGGCCACCCCGCGCGCGACGAATCGCAAGTCGGCGACCACCTCAACCGGCGCCCCAGCCAGGCTGCACGCATGCGCGGCGGCCCACAGCTCCGAGCGCCGCGCCGTCTGGCGGCCGCCCACGGGGGCGTGGCGGTCGAGGTCGAGGCGGCGCCCGCCGGCGAGGCCCTCGAGGCGCGCGCCCCACGCCGCCCGCCTCGCACCGCGGCGCGCGCGACCTCAGTTGGCGGGCAGGCTCGGGCGGCTGCCGGATCGAGCGAAGCCGCTGCGCGCGAACGCCGCGGCGCGGGGGGTCTGCCATCAGGGGCACGCCCACGGCCTGTACTCGGGTCCCTCCACCGCGGCGCTTGCGGTCGCCCCCATTTCGCAGCTACGGACTCTGTGGCCACGTTGCCCGATATCACCGCCCGCAAGGCGTCGGCGGCGTCACGCGCAAGCTTCCCGAGGCATGCCCATCCAGGCCTCGATATCCGCTCCCAGGTGCAACCCAGCCATGCTGCGGTGCGCGGCGGCGATCGGGCCGAAGCGCTGGCCGCGCCCAACAGCCATGGCGCCCGCGGTCGCTCGGGAACCGCCGACGCGGGAGTGCCTTGGCGGCTTGCCACAGAGGCGCGAGCACCGTCAATTGGCCAGCGGGTCAAGACGCCAGCTCGGCGCGTAGACTCCGAAGACGATCTCCGCCGAGGCGCGACGGCCGTGGCAGACCGCCTTAATTGGCCGCGGCCCGCAGGCCAGCGAGCTCGCGGGCTAAAGGCCCCCCGCGCGCCGCGCCGCATAGAGGCCCGCCGCCGCGCCGGCCGCGGCGCCAAGCAGGCAGCGGCTGC